AATTATATCCCTGATGTATATACCTGCCTAATCAATCAGTGAATCATGTTAATTGTCTCTAGCAGCAAGTTGCTTTCAGCACAGAATGGGCAAGTCATAATTACGGGCTGAACTATAGAATACAGAAAATCACTGACAGATTTATACACAAAAATATATTACCAGTGGCTCCTGATTAAACTATTTCTAAGAATCTTTCTGTCTTCATTCAGCTGCCGAAGAACCCTTACGAGAAATGGCATGTGTTCTCCTTTCTCTTCGTTGCGGTAACTGGTATTAAATATCTGTCTTACAAAAGCGTTACTCATTTTAGAATAGTTTAAATCCAATCACGCTTCGCTGTCATAAGCTAGGTATTTTCTTGTGAGCATTTCTGATATCTGTTATTTGAAATAGTCATAGTCAAAATTTACAAATGCGTCAGTTTAACCACCTGTATTCGTACTGAAAAGCAAAATTGCTGGATCTTTTGCTTGTTTACCTTCGGAAAGTTTCTGGTATCACCTAGTTCTCATTAGAACATGTGATGGATGAAAAACAAAAATATAAATAAACGGTTTATTTATACGCAAAACAAGCAAAGAGATCAATCGGGTGATCCAACACGGTCATTTCGGCTCATCTAATACGAGCCTTCTTCAGGATAGTTCGGGTTAATTTCCGAAGTTCGTTCTGTGATCCACAGTTGTAAACGCTTGGAGCCCAAGGTATGCTTCTGGCCCATGTAGTTTTTCGTGAGGAGCTTAAAGATGCAATTTCAATCCAGTCTTTGGTCGATTTTTCTACCGGATGAAACTGAGTAAGCGAATAAAAAGGCTTTAATTATCCAATACTGCAAAAATTTCAACCCGGTCAAAGAATGCGTACGTTTCACGGATTGGACAAGCCTTATGAAGCCCGTTACAAGAAACTAATTAACCAGCAGCATGAGACAAAAAATACACCTTTGGCTCCAAACGTAAGAACAACTGCGTATCATAGAGCGAACTGCGAAAATCATCTCTGCCCACGTTCAGATTGCTTGTGAGATAGAGTCAAAATGTCGGTACTGATTTTTCACCAGTTATATGTGAACAACAGTGTTTTTATGCATTTTTCAGTAGGATCACCAACACACGAATAAATACTCGATGTGAGCTGATAATACAATCAGCGTAGCTGACGTTTTGCTATTGAGTCTCTTGATAATTCTGTATATGTGTAGATTTTCAACTACTAGCCGGTTCGTTTTTCAGCGTTTGCTCCTCATATCCTTTACCAAACGATTATGTATGAAAACGATAGGGACAAGCCGGCTATACATAATGGTTGAGCTACGTCTGCCACGCCGTTCATCCATATTAGGCATATGAGGAATTTTATTGATGGCCGGGCTGCCAGTCTAATCCTTGGCCCAACCACATGCTGTTGGTTTCACCTCTGCCTTTCTGCTCCTGCTTATTTGATAGACTTTAAATGCTCGACTGCCCGCAGCTAGGCGCACAAGTGATGGTTTTATTGTATAGTTGCAGGTGTCAACTTGAAAGAAGTGTAGGTTTAATGTTCAGATTTGTACTGTCCGATTTTACTTGGCATCTTTAACATCTGGCAGCGCATGGTGTTTTAAAGTAAATATTTTTTGTCATCAAGGTGAGTATGTTCAAGTGTCATTGTCTTCATATCAGTTTGATATTTGAATGCATAAGTGTGATGCTATGTTCTTAGCCGCAAGGCACTGTTAGATCGCTTATTATTATTGTTAAATTTAGGCTTGTTTTTAGAACCTGTATGTTCAGAAAGCTATGGAAGTTGAATCCCTTAAGGTTCAGCTTAAGGCCGAAAGGTCCGCCACATCGAATCCTGACGGAATGGCACCTGATCTTGAGTGCTATGAGGTGATTTTCCAAACACCGTTTGAGCCTCTTTCATTATTTTGTTTAGAAGAGAATTCAGTGTTTGACAGACGAGTTGGCGAAGTCGACAGCTGAATGCACGAAACGCAGCAAGGTAATTCGAGCTCTGCTGAGAAAACTTGACGCCGACGGAAAGACTCAGGCGAAGACATCTCCTGAAGTGGTTTCCCAGTCGTTCCAGCATGACGTCAGTGTTTTGTATTTTCTCGAGAAATCTCTGATCAGCCGCTCAGATATGGAAGAGTTCAGAACGAAGTTCTTCAGGTACCACCACCTGAGCCAGCAGATGCTAACACGGTTGAAGAGCTCTGCTCGCTTAGTTGAAGTAAGTTTTATGATATGGCGCTGTGAAATTGCCAGTGTAGAATAAAACGGAATTTTTCTGCTTGAATCGCAGTTACAGGTGGCCAGTTTGGAAGAAACTTCACACCGACGTACTGTTGATTCTAGAGGTCCCATATGTACAAAATAGCGAAACGGAACTTTCAAGGAAACTTACAGTAATGTTTGTTAATGAGTTGTATTAAAGTCGCCCTTAACAACGCACAGCATACGATCAACTACTGTCGATCATAACTTATTGCTCCTATCAGCTGTTCCTAATCTGTGGAATGCGTTTTAAAATTGCTTGTAGATGTCACAGTTAGTTTCACAGAGTACTAATTTCTCAAAACCACATTACAAGAAACAGAAACGTTAAAGTTTCTGGAACAACTGATTTCATGAAATGAATAGTGTGATAAAACAGATGCAGGTAATAATTAAGAAACTGAACGATACTTTTGTAAGTCATTGAAGGAGTTAGTTATTTTAAAAATCCTCGATATATTCTCATCCTGTTCACAAGTATTGTTGCAGAAAAGAATGTCATATATGAGGGAATGGCAATAACGGTTGATATGCGGAGCGGGAGGGTTTTTAAGCATTTTAGCCGTTGATTTCGAAACATTTCTAGAATCGAATGTAAGCCGTTGAGGGAAGTCGGAAAAATGCCCAAGCTAGTGTGCCGAATTCTGTCAGAAAAACCGCTGCATTGATTTCGAATAAAGAAAAATTTATATTCGAATGAGTTTTGAAGCATCACTGCTTGGTTTTTCGTCTGTACGTTAACATCTTTGGGGGTGACACTAATTTATACTCAATATAATTGAATATGTAAAAGAATGAACAGAGAACTCCTGACGTACAAAACAACTTCAACTTGAAATGTGTAGTATTCTTCTCTTTGTGATGTTTCTGAATCGTAATGTAAGAGTCAAGATTTACTCCTTTTATTTAAATGTTTGAGAAATATGCAACTTTGGTAACCGCATTTGGTTTAGAACATATGGACTGCAGTGATCTAAATCCACCTTCGTCGGTGGATGCGTTATTCATGTTTCAAGTTTCAATTATTGCCGTGTTTTATGTGCGAAAGACAGGGAACAAAGTGATGAACTGACATCGAAGGAAAACAATTAAGACACTGTTTCAAGTACAGCAGCCATAAACGGTCGCTGAATAAAGACACTTCTACAGACGATTTATGTTGCCGAAATGTCACCAAACTCACCATCTTCCTATATCGATATGCATCAGTTAAAGGCCAAATAACATTGTAGGAACAAACATCTACTAAATAAAAATACGTCCATTCAGACGTCGCGTTTGTTTGATATCACAGACCAGATCTGAAAATGT